TACTATTAGTCAAATATGATATTTGCCCATATATTTGTCTATATGTTTGCCTACATGACAAATCCATTTTTTCGTCGAGTGCAAGGACAAAGGGAACAACTTTGAGACGACGTTTGGAGACATTTTATCTCAATAATAGACATTATTTATGATTGAAGTTTAAAGATTAGCTTTTTGAAAAAAATATGTTTGTAACCATAATAAATTAAATTGATTTTAAGTGAGTGCTCGTTTCTCGATTGAACGGGTTCAAAAATTAAATATAAGTCAAGAGTAGAACGCGAACTTGACAAAAGCATGGCCATAACCATAAACTTTGGTAGATTCAGATAGTAATTTTATTTTGAAAGAAAATATTCATCTTTAGATTAAATTATCATTTTCGTTGGTGATTTAACCGAGCTTAAAACAAAGCGACGATGAGTCGTAGATTTCTGTAAAAAGTATGATGGCTTAGACCAACCCTACTTCTTCCCCTCCATTCCTATAATGGAAAAAAACCGAACGAACTAAAATCGCCGTGTATACTCATCTCAGTGACTCAAGTAAAAACACCATTCCCCACTGAATCGCTTTGAAGCAATTATTGCGCAAATCAAATCAAGCTCGAACATACAGCTAATGTCAAAGACGAATGCGGTTCACTCTAAGCGCACAATATAGTATATGGCAAAACAAAGCAGATATGTTTTTTAAGCTATGGTCTTCCTGTGTTATGTCTAATTCCTGTATGGGCTTCTGTGGTAGAGTGTTTTGCGCATGTCTGCTACGTGGCCGGTGTTACAGTGGAGAATTTCTCAACGTTTCTCGACATTTTCGCACTTTCTTCTTCCTTGAAGAGACGAAAATGACCACTTATCAAGACTATATCAACCAGAATGAAGACCGAGATGGCGTACGATTCAGCTGGAACGTTTGGCCATCAAGTCGACTCGAAGCGACGAGAATGGTTGGTGAAAAATGACCTCAAACTTGGTTGTTGTTTTGATGATTCTTTACAAAAATGTCGTCTTTCTTCCTCAGGTTGTTCCTGTTGGTTGTACGTATACGCCGTTGAAAGAAAGACCTGATCTTCCTCCTATTTGTTATGATCCTGTACTGTGTTCTCGTAACAGCTGTCGAGCCGTATTGAACCCATTTTGGTATGTAGTTGATACTTATGACAGCAAAATGAAGTCTTTCTTCCTCTGACGTGTCTGTTATACGATTTCTTTACTCATTCCTTATAACTTTTTTTTATAGCCAAGTGGACTACAGATCTAAAGTTTGGCATTGTAACTTTTGCTTCCAAAGAAATGCTGTAAGTATTTAATACATTTATTAGTCCAGACTTACTACATGTAATTTTGACTTTCCAGTGTACACCTACTCTAATATATTTCCCAAGAGAACAAGATTCTTTGTTGAGTTGTATCCATATTCATGTGTCATCTCGTTTGCAACCATTAAACAAAGAAGTAATACAGTTGTACTCTTTGGAATCACACATATTCTGTATTTTTAGAATAAAGGAAAGAAACATTATAGTTTAGGTTTTGATGAATCATCCGTCCTGTCTTTATATGGATATAGATATTTAATGTATATGATTAATACTCACTGTTTGTTTTCTGTTACAGTTCCCACCACAATATGCAGGCATCTCTGAGCAGCACCAGCCAGCAGAACTGATTCCACAGTTCTCTACTATTGAGTATACCCTACAGGTAGGATGAGCTCTTGCATATGCCAATGGAATGAAATTGTCATTATTACACCTATTTCCATTACTCCACTACTACAGCCCAACACTTCATTCAATCAACTCAGACATTTAGAAATTTGATTGACGGAAGCCAAAAACCAAGTTGCTATATTACACAACATCTATAATATTGTAGTTATATGTGTAGCGTAATTACGAAAGTATTGCATATATAGAGATTATCACGTGTTAAGAGCTTGGTATTGTTTTTATTCAGGAGTTTCCATGTAATATTGCGAATGAGCGATATCATATGGAAAACAAGTGAATAAAAAAGATATCGAGCTCTTAACATGTAATAATTTTTTATTACACATTAAGGGTCGATACGATGACAAGATTTATAGTTTCCAGTTTGTCGTAAAGTGATATCTTAGGACTTCACTGATATGGTTTTTATTCACGGCTTCTATTAAACAGATATCGACCCTAAATGTGTAATAAGTACATTGTAGTTATAGTATAACCATTGTATCTATGGCTTGGGCACAATATTTTAAAGTGAGTTAATGATATTAAATAAGCAAATGGGTTTTTTTCTGCAGAGAGGAGGTACCCCTGGCCCTTTGATCTTCTTGATTGTACTGGATACATGCATGGATGAAGAAGACTTCCAAGCAGTCAAGGTTAGTTTACAATCGAATACATACTGTATCACAGGTTTTTTATTAAGGGTTGGAGGTCAGAGAATGCTCCAGCAGCTGATAAAATTCTCAGCCTTAAACTACCATGATCTTCTCCAGTTATTCCAAGTGCTATTGCACTTGTATCAGATGATCAGTGTAATTTTCAATCCAGGTCCTGAGACCTACATACAGTAACTGCCCAAATTTAGGTCCAAAGCATCATCTTGTGTGTGTCAATCAATATTTAGGAACCTCTTGTTAGCATAAGCAAGTAATTGAGTCTGGGGACACATTTGTGTCCCTAAGCATGGAGTTGTGGGTGCCAATAGATATACAACTGTAACCATAACTTACATGTATAAAGTTCTCTGTTTATATTTCTTGATTTAGGAATCACTCCAGATGTCATTGAGTCTTATGCCTCCGAATGCTCTCGTTGGTCTCATTACATTTGGCAAAATGGTAAGTTTCATAAACTGTACCTTTCTAATAAAAAGTGATGTCAACTACAATAGGACATTTGCATGATGGCGTCATTTGACTCCCACTACCATGATGCTTCGCGAATGTTCTTTCTTATTTAAATTTATATTTCCTCATGAGAATAGTAAGACAATTGGTGTTAACTAACTGAACAAAAGAAAGTGTGCAAGGGAGTCTGGTAGTAGAGGTCAGTGACGCCATCATGCAAACGTCCTATTATTGCTTACAGCTTTGCTATATGATATTTAGACCCCAAATATATACTTACTCTTTATACCTGACTTGCACAGTCTTTTCTGCCAACTTCAGACCATCATAAGTCTCAGTTGTCCCCTCGCCACCTCCCCCCTCCCCCCCCCCCCTCCCCACACACACACATTCATCCTTTCTCCAGCTGTTCCTTGGTTCCTCAATTCCATTTACCATGATTAATATGTTTCAAATTCTACAAAATAAAGCATTATACTTGTTCCTCAGGTCCATGTTCATGAACTTGGCTGTGAGGGATGCTCAAAGAGTTATGTGTTCAGGGGAACAAAGGACTTGAGTGCCAAACAGATTCAGGTATATAAACAAACCTTGGATTTTAAAACACAATGTCATCCTTTAGATAGGAAATACAGTAGATCAGTTTTCGTATGAAAATAAATGGAGGTTTTTCTTATAGGACATGCTTGGTATTGGAAGTAGCGCAAGGGGACAGCCAGGTCCAAGGGGTGCTGGTGGACCAATGCCGCACCAACCACACCAACCACATGATGCCTTCAACAGATTCCTCCAGCCTGTCCACAAGTGCGACATGAGTTTGACTGACTTACTGGGTGAACTTCAGAGAGATCCCTGGCCAATAGCAACTGGGAAGAGACCTCTGAGGTCTAGTGGGGTAGCTTTGTCTATTGCTGCTGGGCTTTTAGAGGTTAGGACTCTTAATGAGATTTTTCCACACGGCAGCCATGTTTGTTTAAACTGCAATAGATTCCATTTTGCATGGCATCGCATTTGAGTACTTGAAAATAAATTTTATGCATATTAAACAAAGGTTTTTATTCTCATGAGAATAAACATGGTTGTTGTATGATAAAGGGCAATTAGTATAAGTATGAGTGATTCTTTGGATCTCCTTTTCAACGCCTGCCTTTAAATTATGTAAGGAATAGACCCCCTGCATGTGATGTCAAAGCAGCTCAATTTATAGGACAAAACAAAAGATTTTTAATCTCAAGAGAATTGGAAAGCTATTGTTATGCCCTCCAAATAGCCCACTTCCGAGATATGCACAAAGGTTTCAGTATGAGGCTATGTGCTAAATTAAATTAATTCTTACCACCTGTCACGAATGACTGAGCATTTAGCACTTAGCCTCATACTGAAACCTTTGTGCATATCTCAGAAGTGGGCTATTGAGCTGAAGCATTTGCCAGTTGATTTCTCCCTTCCCCTCTCTCCCTCCCCTCCCCCTCCCTCCCTACTGGACAAGGACACAGGACATACCACACACCAGCCTTGGATCCTACACGTACAGTGTATCTACTACTTTTAACATTTACAGAATTAACTTAAATTATAGTCCCAAATTATCTAAACTGTTAATCTCACGTTGTGTTGTTCTCAGTGCACATTCCCCAACACAGGAGCAAGAATCATGCTGTTTATGGCAGGCCCTGCGACACAGGTAACTACAACTCTGCAGATCAGTTTGCATCAGTTAGTCAATCTTTGCTTATAACAATTGAATTCAACTATACTTTGTTTTTTATTAGGGTCCTGGTATGGTTGCTGACAATGAGTTAAAGAACCCAATGAGGTCACATCATGACCTTGAAAAAGACAACGCACCACATGTCAGGAAAGCTATAAAGGTGTGTTGACGCTCTCTTGAAAAACTTTGAATTAAGACCATAGTAGTCATAAGCATTTGAAGTACATGTAGCTGGAGAACAAAGTGAGGGAGGCATCTTAGTGGACCTTAGTTTTGTACCACAGAGATGTGTTTTAACTCATAAAGAATGCTTTAAAAGTGAAGGGGTCACTGGTGCCTTAGCAGAAGTGTACTTGCATCTCACCTCTTAGGTCTCAAGTTAACTTTCTGGACCAGGCACCACATGCAAGTGGAGTTTATCAGGGTCTTTTCCTTGCATCAAAGGGTTCTTTCCCTTTTCCTGTGATCTGTGAGTTAGCTACAGTATGCTACATCACTTGTATGGAAAAACAACTTCCAGGTCCAAAGCGAAAAGCATTTCTATAAAGATTTTACTTACTTTTTCTTCATCATAGGATTTGTTGTTCAAAGTTTCATTTGTTTCACGTAAAGATTAAATCATTGAGAACATTTCCCTCTTTATTTTAGTAGTTCCTTTGAGCAGTTGGACCTGGAAATACTGTAAATCACAGCTTAACAACTCTATAACTTTAGCATTAATTGTTCAATGATTGTTTGTTGCAGTTTTATGACGCACTCTCTAAACGTGCCTCAGATAATGGACACGTCATCGATATATTTGCCTGTCAGCTGGATCAAACAGGCTTACATGAAATGAAATATTGTCCAAATGCTACAGGGTAAGTCCTGCTTTTACAGTATGGAATGTTGCGCCATAGACCTTTTCTGAGATAGTGATTATGGTGCATTGTGGTCTAAATTTGGTACGAACATCTTTTGTCCATCATGCCTTATATGGTGTTGTTTGTACTGAACCTAGACCACAATGCATCATATTTATCAAACTCAGAAATGGCCTGTGTATGTTTTAATGATACGATGTGTCACGCCATGCTTTTTGATGACACAATGTATGTTTGCATAGATCATGTTGTGACATACTTCAAGGTGAGATGATTCAATTTTGAAGCTTGTGGGGGGAGGGTGTAGTGTCAAAAAAACCACAAATTTTCACCAGTGCAAGCTCAGATTTATTTTTGAACCTAGTGTTTATCGTTAGTAGAGTGGCATATCACTTGTTCTGACAGTACCTTAATTACCTGCTTTCCCCTCAACAGTGGTTACATGGTGATGGGAGATTCATTCAACACAGCGCTGTTCAAACAAACATTCCAAAGAGTATTTGCTAAAGATGTGCGTGGAGAATTTAAAATAGCCTTTGGTGGAACATTAGAAGTCAAGGTTAGAAGAAATTTCATTTTTCTTGTATTGTGGAAATATGCATTACTCTTAATGAGGTTCTAATTTTCTCATGATATTTCTTCACATTTTGATATATGTCTAGACTTCAAGAGAATTAAAAGTATCGGGTGCCATAGGACCTTGTATATCGATGGATCGTAAAGGACCAAACATATCTGAAACAGTAAGTACCATGGATTACTTTACCGCCATGTGCATTGTTACGCGGCCACCCCAGACAAAAATTTACACGTGGGTGTGATTCAAAAGGTGCCAAAACTTGTCCATTGTTTACGAGTATTATGAGCCACACTCACCGGGCCTATCCGGGCCGATCCAAAAGCTTGTAAATGACATCAACATGTTTGATTGACAGCAGTCTATTGCAAAGTGCACGTCGCGATTATTGTCTGGGGTGGCCGTATAGCAATGCAAATGGCGGTAATTACCTTCCACCTACACTTGTCCCTTGAACTTGTCTATGCCTCAAGTTAAAATTGAAATATATTAGAAAATGTTTTCTGTGACAGTATAATTCTAAATTTACTCTAGAATCTCAGATTTTAAAGATATTTTTCTTTCTGTTAACCAATTCCAGGAAATCGGAAGTGGTGGAACTTGTGCCTGGAAATTCTGTGGCATGGACCCTTCAACAACTACAGCAGTCTTCTTCGAAATCGTCAACCAGCACACAGCGCCTGTCCCACAAGGTGGTCGAGGCTGCATACAGTTTATCACGCAATATCAACACGCAAGTGGTCAACAGAGGGTGCGGGTCACAACATGTGCACGTAACTGGGTAGATGCTACCAATACAGGGCATATTGCACTTGGCTTTGACCAGGAAGCTGCGGCAGTACTGATGAGTAGAATAGCTGTCTCCAGGTAAGAGCGGTCCTAATGATTTATCATGGTTTAAGATTTCATTATTCAATACTCTTTGAGAGAAAATTTCTTACGTTGATTCTTTCTGCTATCGTTTTCAGGGCTGAAGGAGACGATGGTCCAGATGTACTTCGATGGCTTGATCGCATGTTAATTCGACTTTGTCAGAAGTTTGGAGAGTATCATAAAGATGACCCAAGTTCGTTTAGACTCACAGAGAACTTCTCCCTCTACCCACAGGTATGTGACAATATCAACTGTCTATCTGTTGTGACAGCACTGTGACATCACTGTTTTCCAGTATTGTAAATCGATGTGCAGTCATCTTGGGTCTGCTTTGATTTTGTACCGTGACCCTGCCTTGCTCAAGATGATGATAGGGTACCGTACTTTACTAATGCTGTTCTTCTGTATTTTGTTTTTAGTTTATGTTTCATTTAAGAAGATCACAGTTCTTACAGGTGTTCAATAACAGTCCTGATGAAACGGCATACTATAGGTACCTAAATACTCATCATTTTAAGCAAGAAACCTACGGCTCTTACTGTATTATACTTCCATTTAGCCTTTCTCACTTTACCTCATAGCAGCTTTGTCTTTAAGGCCAACCTCTATCTCTGCACTGACCTCCTGCGAGATAGCAAGTATCTCCCACTGCGATAGCGAGTGTGTTTTAACACAAGTCTGTCCATAGCACACACTAGGGGCCACTGGTTTGAACTTGTGCACAGTAGACAAGAGGTTGGCTTCTTTTCTTCCTTCGTTTCCGCATCAAAGCTGATGAACTTCTTATTTGATTCCTTCCACAGACATATACTAAACCGTGAAGATGTGACAAATTCCTTGATCATGATACAACCGATCCTTTACTCGTACTCCTTCCAGGGACCACCAGAGGTATTACAGCATAAAATACACTCACCTGTGTGTTAATAACACTTTGACCTCAATCTTTCATTATTTTTATATTTATCTTTTGTTTGTCTGACAGCCTGTTCTCCTGGACTCAAGCAGTATCCTAGCAGACAGGATCCTACTACTCGATACATTCTTCCAAATTCTCATCTATCATGGCGAGGTAATAGATATACGCAAAAATAGACAATTCAAATGTTGGAAATACATCCTAAGTGGATAAGCAGTAACCTTGCTCGTTGTGATTAATTAATACCTTACCGTGACTGTGCCGGGTTCAAATTAGCTGTCTTTTGTTGAGGACAACTATGATATAACTACTAGTAATATTTCCATCATCGTATCTGATTTGTACATTATGTACAGTAAAACATACATAGGAAATAAATTGTCAGAGGACTACAGCAGAACACTTGTGCTGACTCTCAAATGTTCTTGTACCGGCACTCAAAACAGAAAAAAGTTTTCATTCACAAAAACCTTATGATTTTTTTTCACATTTTTCCTCAGACCATCGCTCAGTGGAAGAAAGCAGGTTATCACAATGACCCTCAGTATGAAAGCTTCCGTCAGTTAATCCAGGCTCCGATAGATGATGCTGGTGAGATCCTGCAGGTTCGCTTCCCCATGCCGAGATATATTGAAACAGAACACGGAAAGAGCCAGGTAAGCCATGCATAACTACGAATGGTGCATTGTGGTCTAGCTTGGGTACAAAGATCTTTTATCCATCATTGTGTTGTTTGAACCCAAGGTAGATTAAAATGCATCATGTTTATCGATTTCGGAAAAGGTGTATTGTGTAGCCACTATTTTTACTCGTACCATGCCATATATATAATCTCCTCAAATATACGAGGTTTTCTGACATTATTCCTGCCTCCCTTCCGTCAAACTGTTACAAACAAACCAATGGTACGTCATCAAATATGGCGGTGGTGACATCACGTGAACGTCATCAAATATGGTGGCGTTGACGTCACAAATACGTGAAGAATAGACAAAGGATAGTATTGTCATACTTCAATTTGTTTATTTTCCAGCAACGTTTCCTGCTATCGAAGGTGAACCCCTCGCAGACCCACAACAACATGATCGCCTGGGGACAAGACGCATCTGGGGCACCTGTCTTGACAGACGATGTTAGTCTACAAGTCTTCATGGAACATCTCAAGAAACTGGCTGTAGCCAACACCTCATAAGATAGCCCCTTGCTGGAAAAACTGTCTGTCTGTTCTTCGTTCGTCTTACTATCCTTAGCTACTCCAAAACCTCTGAAATTCGAACTCCCAAACTGTGCCCCACAATTAATAACGCTTTTCATACGATTTATAAAAGCTGGCTTAAAGATACCCTTGTGGAGTTTAGAACATAGATTCCAATTTATTTTTTGCGGATATCGTTATACCCAAATCACTTATTTATTCCTGACTGGATGTCCTTAAAACAAGTTCTTTTGCACCAAGAACAAATCCTAGAAACACCACTTACACTACTTAGCTGCTGCGCTCTAACCGTACATTAGTTATCAATGCTTTAGATATTCTCAGACTTGTCCTGCCTTACAGTTCAACCAAGAGAAAATGTTTTAAATTTTCTCTTTGTTTATTCCATAGTTTTTCATATACCTAATACCTAAATAAAAGTCCTCACAAAAGAAATTTATTAATTGTTTAGTTGGATGGAAATAAATGAAAAGTAATCAGATAAGCAGAAACGTCATGCGTTATAAAATTTACCCGTTCAAAACAGAAATATTTACGATCAGCAACTCGTTTCTTACTTGCAGCAATTCGTCTAATATGAAACAATTCGTCTAACATGCAGCAATTCGTCTAGCATACAGCAACTCGTTTCTCAGTTATTTGGTGCAACTCGTCTAACTTGCTGCAAGACGTATCTTCAACCCATCTGCAAACTCAAACTCAAGCTCAAAGGAAAAGATTTTACTGTCGTTTCTTTTTTATCTGCTTTAAAACTTTGTTCTTTTTCGATAGAGAAATGCTTGCTCCACCAGCATCAAGATTGACTGCAGAATCACCTTTCTTTACAACGGATCTGACGACTCCATCAACACTAACAGTAAAAGATGGGTCATTTTGTTTACTGATTCCACTAATGATCGATTTGGCCTGGGCGTTGGCCGCCTGGCCCAATACAGACTCGGCCAGTGCCTCACTAGCTTGTAAAGCAGGAGAAGCAAGAGGTAATCCTGGAAAACCAGGCAAAGAAAAACCTTGTTGTTGGTTCATAAAAACATTTTCAAAACCGGTCAGTCCTGTTGCACCAGTCAATCCTGTTGCACCAGTCAAACCTGTTGCACCAGTCAAACCTGTTTCACCAGTCAAACCTGTTTCACCAGTCAAACCTGTTTCACCTGTCAAACCTGTAGGGTACATCATGTTCATTTGATTGGCTGCAAGCAAAGGTGCATCTATTCCTTGAACCGGAGATGTAGGTGAATTTAAATACATAGACTGGGTTGGTTGTGCGGCTATGTCCAGTACAGGTACTATACCAGCAGATGGCGTATTATATGGCACTAGTCCAGGCATCATTTGGTACATTGGCATCTGGTTATAACCAGATTGTCTGTACATCGGGAAATTCTTTTTTCCAAATTTGATTCCATACATTGCAATCGGCCCAAAATCTGCTTGACCAGCTTTGGTATCATACAATGGAAAGTTCTTGAAACCGGTTTTTCCTGTTTTTGTCCTGTACATTGGAATAGGCACATAACCTGCTTGACCGGTTTTGGTATCGTACATTGGAAATTTCTTGAAACCTGTTTGTCCCATTTTTGAACCTGCCTTTGCAGGTTTTGTCCCGAAGGCTGGAATCTGCGCAATGTCGGCTTGTCCTTTTGGATCATAAAACAGAATCTTAAAACCTGTTTTACCAGTTCTATATTGATAGAATGGATTTGGCCCGTTGACGACAGTCTTGTGGTTCATTTGCTGGGCCTGCTTCTTGGGGTTCTGTTTTCCAGGTTGAATGCTCTCATCAATAAAGTGCTTCCCTGGGGGGAGGTAGAAAGGATGTTTTAACCACTGGCGATGCTTCTGTTTCTGCTTGTCTTTGGGTTGTTTGCCTGTGCCGGAAAAAACATGATATCTTTAGTCCAATCAACGTTCTTCCATTAATGCTCTATTCATATGGCGAAACGTTGTTCGAAAATAGAAATATAATAAGCAAAAGTTGCTTGATATACTGCGAGGATCAGCTCAATTTGATACACTACAACCGCAATACAAATATATAGTTGATATATGATTCTCATATACAGAAATATAAATGTTGCTCTTTCCAACAACAAAAAATATACCAATAGCAAAAGTATTTTGACTATTTTTTTAACAAGACATGAAATATTTAAGACTTCTTTAAAATATTCTAAATTTAGTTCTAGGTAAAATAAATATTTGTTGTTCAAGAACGACGTCCACTGTTTTACATATTTTCTGCCGAGGCTTAGAATGTGCATTTATAGGAGTGTATCGAATGATGGTATAAGAGATCCGTGATAAAACTAGCTGGTACTTCAGATGTGTATTTATAAACACTAGCTCGTCTTACCTTTTTTCTTGGTGTCTGTTGCCACCAAACAAGTAGACATCAGCAATAACACTAGCAGACGCATGACAAACATCTTACCAAAAACACATCAAATTCTGATCATTTAGAAAGACAAATTTTCAATACGAAATTAAGGCTTTTTAGACTAATCCATGGAATACATTTGAAATCAAAGTTTCTTCCATATCAAAGTCGTAGACAATGATATTCATGGTTCAAAATGACAAAATATAAACATAGGAAAACAGGTAGAATGATAGGGTTTCAACAGGTTCGTTGAACTGAATTATGATCAGACAGGTAGCGCTGACATGGGTTGATTTTAGACAATTTTGACTCCGTTTTCTTTGGGAATTAAGTTGATTTTAAGGTTCACTATTTGAAGCCATGCAGGTTTATTCAGTGGGATATATTTGAAAACACATCGAAGCTGTCAGGTCAAATCCAGGGGTGTAGCGAGGTCACGGTGTTAGGAGGGGGAGGGCCGAGGTACCATTTTCCCGCCAATACACACGCGTACGCGTTTCATTCTTTAGAGTTTCCCGCCATATCAACGAGTTTAGGAAAACATTTGTGGGGGAGGGGCGCTGATCGAATCACAACAATATGTTACTATACATAGTTATGCAGACCCTTCCCTGGTAGTTAAGGATATCGTTTTTTTCCTCACTCCCGCTATTTTCATTTCTATTGTTTCATTTTTAAACCGACCGGAAGGAGAGATCTGTTTACAGGGTACTTCAAACGCTTCTTCTCAACTTTGCACTTTTTTAGCAATGAACTGCATCCAATGATTTTATTTGAGTTTTTAACCTATCTAAACTCCTCAAGAGGTCCTCAACCAAAAGATGCGCCAAAAGAACTAAATGAGATGTACTAGATAGTTTATCATAGTATTCTTAGGTTACACTACCCTGGTCCCAGAGGGCCGACGATTTTTCTCCCGGCCACGTACATTTTGAGCGCGAAATCGTCGAGCCTCTGGGACCTGGGTAACGTTATACCACCAAACCTCACTGAAAGCCAAGACTCACAGTATCTCTACGTCCGCTTCAAAGTAGAACTATCCAAGAAAAGATACCTTAGCAAAACTAGCAATCGATGCACACAAAAATCCCATTACAGACATGCCCAAACCATAAACAAGACTCCTAGGCGCCGCCGATGACACCGCTGATTCCTCAAGCATGCGCACTACCCCTTTTCCTCTTGACAAGCTCAATTTCTCACCAGTCTTCACTCCGTATTTTTTACCATCTTTCACCACTTCCAAATATGGAGCTATTTCTTTCCTAGCCAATAACGTGATCTCAACACCATCTGACGTAATAGTGAATTTCAATTGGTTACCAAGGTAATGGACTCCAGTAATGGTCATCTTTGTACTTTTGGGGGGTAGGGTGGGGTTGAATTCTAGGTGTCCTTCGCGAAGGCGGAACCCTCCATATCCGTAAGTGATGGTTTGTAGGAATCCTCCAGCACCGGTGATAAAGTTGACTGCACCCTTCATGTTCCGCTGTTCCACCCAAACCTTGTAACAAGATGGCAACAAAATGCATTTATTAAAGGCGCGATTACATGAAGCAATTTTCTCTGCAACTTGTCTCGAAAGAGCGTTGCGACACAAGTTACATGGAGCGCATTGCAGCGCGTAACCTACAGCGCGATTTGGAAACATGTTGCGAGACAAGTTGCAGCAATTGTTTGCGTCTCCGTTGCACCGTGTAAACACTCATGCAGCTGCAGAGTTGCAAAGGAAATTGCTCCGTGTAATCGCACCTTAATTTGGTCTTAAATTTCAATGAATGCTTTCGCCCTGTCTAGGGATCGAGCTCGTGACCTCAGGGGTGAGAGACAATTGCACTACTGCTATATGCCCTATAGTTAGGCGTTGTTTAAGGAGTTTATCAGCCCTTAACCTACCTTGAAAGGTCCTACAATATTCTCGAAGTTTTTCATGAAGGGTTTCTCAGCACGTTTCTCTTCGCCAAGTTCCAGCCAACCAATAGCAAACATGGAGTGGGTCATAGCGGGTCCGTTTGGATTGGTAATGTCTTCATAAAAATTTAAATCATTAGAACGAACCTGGAAGAAAAGTTAAAGTGAATTAATTATATTTGGCGCAAGAGGTTTGTTCATACTCGTTTTCTACTTATTTTCAAGAAGAAATTTGTCGAAATTCCATGTACGAATGGCAATGAATTGCAGTGCCGGGTTGCATTGTGGGATACAAGATGGCGGGGCTTTCTGATGTCGCCCCCAAATTCAGCCGTACCGTGTCTTACCATAGCCGTAATTACACGTTGTAATTGGTTGAATCACTGGAAGACAATGGGAATCCATTTTAATATTACGGCATGTCGTACCATGTACAACATGTGTAAATATTTCCATGTATAAAAAGAACATGATTCTCAAGAAAATGTCATGTGGTCTGACTGTGGGCAATTTGCAAATAAAGATCTATTGACGCACCTTCTTGTCCATGTCGTACATCAGTGGGTACCCGATAAGGATTGTGTCTGCTTGTTTCACACTGATGTTCAGGTTATAGCCTTCATATTCAGGATGATACTGCTTCTTCTCGTCAAACGGGATCAACATCTTTTCAGCTATCTTTGACCATTCCTCGGGCACATCGTGTCCAAGCATTTTTCCAACCTATTTTGAGAAATTTAAATGTTTTGTTCAATTGGTTAAATATAACTACGCCAAATTCCTTAATTCCCAGTGATCGTAGAGGAGTGGCTTGGGGGGATGGGGTTACTTCTTGTTAAAATCCACTAAATTTTGGAGTGAATATCAAGCCGGGAAAAAATTGTCAAAAACCCAGATCTGGTGTCCAGAGTTCGATTATTAATACTAATCAGTTGTCATGGTAAATATTATCAACCTTACCTTAGTTGCAAACTCTAAATTCAGCTTAGCAACAACGTTAGTGTAGACAGAGTTATTCACAGGGTATTGATATTCATCGGGTGGCATCACGTGATTGATGACGTATGTATCGCCATCACTTCGGTACTGCACCCTACTCGCCCAGTACTCGGCTGTTTGTCGGGCTATTTCGTATCCATTTTTTCGTAGCCAGTGGGTATCTTTGGTGGTGTACCAGTATAGCTTTGCGGCGTGTGTGATGTCTCCAGTGATGTGGATTTGACTCTTGCCGTATCGTTCCCCGGGTGATACTTGGAGTCCTGTGAGAGCACTCTCCCATGGGAACATGGCTCCTGTGAAAGAAATGTTCACCATGATATTAAATTCGGTACGTTATGGCTTGAAATAAGGTATAGAGGCTTTGCACTATCACGCGATGGCAGCCACGACAGGAAGCACAACAATAGAGTCTTTCACCCCTAGGAAGCTGAATTCTTTTTCATGTAAATGAGATTGAACCAGATTCAGTTGTTCCGCTGCTTCCTGTCATGGCTGCCATCACGTGATAGTGCAAAGCTTCTTTTAGATTCCTCCACCCATAGACTCGCGTTCAAGTGCTTGAGAATAAATTTAGCGGGTTTAAAGACTTGAAGTCAAGCTCATCACATGCAAGTCGGCTCAATAGAATGAATAAATAATCTCTGTCGGTAAATGCTTCACAGTCCATTTCTTTTCATTTTCACCATCAAAAGTAGTTTCAAAGATTTATCTTTACACTCTTTTTACACTCGTGGGTTAACGCTTACCTTTATATCCATATTTTCTAGCCACCCTCCTAGCACCGGGTAAACGATCGTATCGATACTTCAACGATGCTCTGGCAAGATCCGGGTGAAGCAATACCAAGAATGGATACATCCAGATATCCTGGTCCCAAAATGTATGCCCCATGTACTCTTCCCCGCCCGGGAGACCACCGGGACTTAACCCGTACGGCCAGTCAGCCCGGGTTGAGCTGAGGATGTAATACATACTGCCATAAACAGCCTGGGATAACTCCAGGTTGCCTTCGATGTCCACGGTGCTGCGGTTCCATAATTCTTCCCAAGCTTTCTTGTGTGTACTAAATAGACTTTTTTGAACCCTAAAAGACAAAACGAAAACACCTTTTTAGGGTAGTAGAGCAGTTTTCGTATGACTGTGAAAAGCTCAGTGCCGTAAGCGTGACGTGCCGTGACCGTGATGTTTTCTAGAATTTTAATAGGCTGATTTTTTCACGCGCAATATGATTGGTCTAAAAGTGCCGTTATCTTGGCGTGACCGTGTCCGCGCCGTGTTTATGCCGTGTTCCGGGTATTTGATTGGATGGAGAGTATTTGGAGAGATTGGAATTCTCGTGCAATGTGATTTGTCTGGCGTATCCCTTGCTTTGTCACGACCGTGTTCGTGCCGTGAACTTTTCACAGTCATACGAAAACTGCACTAATGTTTTTCCATTTCAGCCCACGTGTCATTCTCTTGAGAATAAGATCCTTTGTTTGAATTGCATCCATATTGATGTGTCTTCTCATGCACAACCGTTAAACAAAGCAATGATACTCTAGGTAATGACACGTGGTCTGACATGGAAAACCATCACGCCCAAGGTTAAGAGGTCTATTGCCGGATCGAGATTTTTATAGAGAGAAAATCTAAGACTACTCAGCTGCAATATACCCACTTGATAGCATCACTCCATTGACTGACAGCCTCAGACAGAGGCGCAAACTTGGTATCGAGGCTTGTAGCAATAGCAGTTATGAAGTACCAATTCTGTTCGTCAGGTGATGCTGCTACATTTAACTTCGAAGGGATCTCGGTCCAGGCCATCGCGACCTCAGGGCGAAAACTTCCTTTCGTTTCCGTGATATTTACCTGGAAAATTCATTATGAATCAACATATTAGAAGAGTATCCTGCATTTCGTATTAGCCATTCCGAGGTCGAGGAGAAAGCTGGGTCGAGTTGACATTGCAATGTATTATGGGACTGTTTTAAGGGTAGATATTTCTAAAGGCCGGTTTAGACGGTACGATTTTCGCCTACAACTATCGCATACAACAATCTCGCGCCATCCTACAACTCGAGTCGTAGCGTGTAAATCAAGTCTACAACTTGCCTACGACAGACGCGAGCGTGTTGTATACGATAGTTGTAGGCGAAAATCGTACCGTCTAAACCGGTCTTAAGATGGCGGATATTTCGTCCCTTAAAACAGTCCACAATGCAATGCACTGACAACTCAATCCAGTTTTTGACTCCACTTCGGAATGGATAATAGAACGTTTTAACTCGTGTTTAACGAATTTAATTTTTGATTAATGAGTTGAATTTAAAAAAATAAAAATATGAGCTCTAAAGTTTTGTTTTTATGTACCAAGCCAAATTACTAGCGTTATCATCTCGTTCGATGCTTACACTTTTGTGAAAGTGCAATTAGAAAGGCATTCCCTTGAAATAAACTGCAAATCTAGAATATCCCGTGGCATGACAATAACGAATAGTAGATTGGGTGCCGCTTGGAAACAGGGCAAAGCATTTTGGTAGACAGGAATCAGTTACACAGTATTAAGAGTTGCCAGTAAAAACAGCAAAGTTTTTTTTCAGATATTTTTTAATTGAAAAATAAAAACAAAGAAAAAAAGCGGAGTAATAAAAGTTTGAGTAGGTGTAATGTTTAGGTCACCCATCCAAATACTAACCCTCCTCACTCGGGCTTGACTCAGCATCTTCGATGCCCAAGTTTTTATCCACCGAGCCACGGTTCCATATACTTAGCATAACAATGGCCGCAAAAACAGTGCACCGTATAGACTAGACTTTCTGACATAAATATTTCAACCGATTCCGTGCGTGGCAGAGATGCAAGGGATTAGCCGATATGGTCTGGGGGCCGGCTGGTCTCTCCCCTGATGCTTCGGCTAGAACATTTTCTTGCGTAATTCGTRCACCCAAGGGCAGAAGGATTTAATCGCCGTCAGGTCCGAAGTCCATACGCCGCCTCAGCTCTGCGGATGTCTCGGGGGTATGGCAAAGTGGGGTCGATTTTTTTTTTTAATTTCTGTCTTTGGGTTAGAACTGCATCGTATATCAATTAGATATCCAGATAAGATTTTCTTATTTTTTTAAAAGTCATACTACATCCCCATAACCTAATACCCTTTTTCTCCGTTTGTGCGCTCGATAAACCCTCCAATTTTAGACAGGGCAAAGCAGTTTTAGACCATTATTTATTTTTACACATTTTAAATTTACTACCTCTTTACTACTCCCTACCCAGCGATAATTTGCTCCTGATACACTATCCCTACCCCCGACAGGACATGTTTTAGTCACTAGTATCTTGTAACAAAGGTCAAGAGGTCACCAGACAAGTCGAAATTTTTGTGAAGCCAAAAACCGTGAAAAACTGCCAACTTTATAATATGCACTAAACGTAGCCTACGGGGGAGGGGTGGGGGCCTGTGGAGGCCACGCTAAACGTTGCACTCGATCGATCGAGTATTGTTTACTTTGGTTAGTTTTTCCTGCCTGTACGGCTCTACTAGATAGTTGTCTAACATCCAGAACACTTCTCTTACCTTTCCAAGAGCTGCTTTTAGTCCTTCTTCTACATCTACTTCAGTAAATTCGATATCCTTCGAGTCGTTTCCTCTTTTGTTATTGATCTCCAACGTGACTGGCATTCCCATATTATTTTGAACCGATATCTCTACCACAAGAATGTGCATGCGTGACCTGTGAGCGTAAACTCTCTGCTCAACCTCCAACTTGCTGGACTTAAACCAGTGGTAAAAAACTCCTTCCTTCACGTCCAATGCGTACGAATGCTTGCCGCTAATGCCAGCTACTTCGAACTCTATAGCGCACGTTGACGGGAGCCTAGCTCTGTGAGCGTGTTCGTAAAGATAAACTGGATAAATTTGAGTCTCTTTAGGGTTAGATTCACCGCTGAATACCCCAGACACATGAATGGAATCGCTGTATATTACCGTTCCAATATAGCCGTTTGCGACTGACGGCATGAAGTTTCCAGGTTCGCTGTTCTTTACCCAGACAACGCTAGTCTTTGTTGGAAGAGTTTCAGTGTAGAAACGAGTAGGACTTGCTTTCATTTCGGCCATTCTGACACTACGAGTGTATGTATTCGTTACTAGACAGCTAAGAATAGCAACACAGCTCACCACGTATGCCTTCATGATAGATAAGTCTTACGGTAGATTATCCGTGTCTGTCACGCTAGAGAATCACGCAGGCAAACTGCGACTTATAACTTCTCGTAAAATCTAGCCCTGAAAATGGCTGGGCAAACAAAGCAACGTGGAGCGGCGCTTATTACTGTTTACTTTGTATTTATTTTCTATTTCTGACGACAGCGTGATAACCGGGTTAATGGATAACAATGGAGATTCCGAGGGGAGGGGTGAGGGGAGGGGAGGGGAGGAGTGAGGGGAGGG